ATCTTAGTTAATATGGCTTACATACATTTAGAAGCTGGGTTTATAACCCCTTGAATTCCATGGTATTAATCAGTGTAAAGCATCTAATTCTTTAAAAACTTATTAAAGGCAATTCTTTAAAAATTTGAATTACTTTTATATTTTTATTGGCAAGCAATGCTGATTTTATTGCTCAGTTGCAGCTAAAGAGAGTGTGCTATATATTTAACTTGGAAGACAAATGTTCATTTTGTTTTGGAATAAAGAAGAGGAAAGAAGACAGTTGGTGTTGCTCATTGGCAAGTGTTTCAATATTGAGTTACTATTAGTTAATTAAAAAGAAATTAATATGTTTTAGTTCCTGCCATCTGCTAATTCATCCTAAGAATTTTAATTTTTTTATTATTTTTCTCAGTTGGGAATTTTTTTTGTCTGTGAGTAACAAAATTTTAAAGCATTCATAGGAGCTCAGTAAAAGAGTAATTTTTTTCCTTTTCTCCCCAGTTGTTCATTGAGTGCTAACTATGTAACCGGTGTTGTGTTAGGTTCTTGGGTTTTAAGAATTGTTCTTTCTGTATCTTTGACTATTTTATAACTCTTGCTTAATTTTGACCCTGCAACTTTTTATGAAAGTAATAAAACAAGATAGATATGGTCTATATATATTAACAGAGCTTATATTTGTGGGAGGAGGGACTTTTTATCAGTTCATTTATCAGTTTTATCAGTGTGTTATTTATATGTAATTCTCACAGGGAAAGCTTATATCTTTTTATATTCTAGTTGTCTTTTTTGTTGCTTTCAGAAAGAACCTGATTTTTTTCTATAGCTGTCAGATGTTGATGTATCTAAAATTGACTCAAATATTCCAGGAGTAGTTTCTAGGTGAGCGTTTTATTAAGGAATATCACAGTCTATGAAGTGATGTCTTCATATATGCTGTCAAATAATATTTCATATTTTTAGGTAACAAATTCACTCTCTTTAAAGCTTTTTATGCTTATTGAATTGTGGTTTCTGATTTCTGCATAGGTCATTATTGTTTTTAAGTTGAATTCCTGTTACTGTTTTCTAAAGCAATATCAACTTATTGATATTTGTAGCTATTGATTTTTAAAAATATTTCTGAACTTAACAGGAGTTATATCTAACTTTTTAAAACAGTGAGCTCTGAACCCATAAAATAACCAAATGCTAATTTTTGCTATAGTTTACTAGCTTTCCGTGAATTTAAATACGTTTACATTTATTTTTAGGAATATCTGTGGCTTGTTCATTAAGCATATGTTTATTGAGACTTTATTGTATGCTGAGAACTAAAGTAGTAAACAAGATAGACATCGTCTATGTGTACTAATGAACCTTATATGCTTTGGGGAGGGGGTCCTTCTACCAGTTCATTTATCAGTTTTATCAGTGTGTTTGACTCTAAAAATTAGTCATAAAGTCAGCATATCAACATTAAGATATCTTTACTTGTTTTTGTTTTTTTAGAAAAGAATATATGATATAATTATATGTATTGAAAACATAAATCATATGTTCACTATTCCTTTGAAAAGTGCTTTTGGGCCAGGCACAGTGGCTCATACCTGTAATCCCAGCACTTTGGAATGTTGAGACGGGTGGATCACCTGGGGTCAGGCGTTTGAGACCAGCCTGGCCAACATGGCGAAACCCTATCTTTACTAAATACAAAAAATAAAGTGATGCAAGTCTGTAATCCCAGCTCCTCAAGAGGGTGAGGGAAGAGAATTGCTTGAGCCTGGGAGGCAGAGGTTATGGTGAGCCGAGGTCGTGCCACTGTACTCCAGCCTAGGCGACAGAGTGAGACTCTGTCTCAAAAAAAAAAAAAAAAAAAAAGAAAGAAGAAGGGGAAGGAAGAAAGGAAGGAAGGAAGGAAGGAAGGAAGGAAACCAATATATTTACTTTTTTCTGTAAAAGAATTGGGTTACTTTTTGGCTTTACATTTAGTTTCGCTGATTTCCTCCAACATTTCTTTCTGGAATATTATTAGTTTATTTGGGATTGAAGACTTGAAATTATATATGTATAATATTTGAGATGTTTTGTGTTATTGATTTTCTTATTTATGTTCTGTTTACTTGCTTTTATTAAGTATAAGATCTACATGCTTACTTTTAATGTCCCGAAGATTGGGCCATAGTTGCTGAGATTTTAAAAGATTCAAGCTAACAGTGGTTCCTTCATGTGTTACTTCTCAGTAAATTTTCAGAAGACTATACTGCTATTATGGGACAGCTTCTTATCTTCTTAATGTTTCTTATTTAACCAAAAAGTTAAATTGACTTCTCAATTTTTAAACTTGGTGGTGGGCTATAGATGCAGGAAACGAAAAAGACCAAAGATGAAGACGGTCCTTGATTATATTTTTATTCTGCATAACATCTGTAGTTCTTTTCATTTCATAACACCTTGGTAAGTATCTTACCTGCAGGAAGTGCTAACAAATAGTATGTTGATTTGTAGACACACCTGTTTATGTGGTTTTCAAAGCACATGGCTGTACTCTTAGCAATTCTAGGCTTTTGAAAAAAAGGGTAGAGTTGTCGGCTATTCATTTCTTGTCAGAAGCCTGTCCAAAAAGTAATAGAGATGACCATCTAAAGACTTCTAAGTCCCCTTCCTTCCACCAAAACCTGCTCATCCCACAGTTTTTCCTAGCTTGGTAAATACCAGTTCCATCTTTCTAGTTGTTTATGCTAGCCATTTTGAGTCATTTTTGGAATTCTTTTTCCTATGTCCACATTGAGTTATCAGCAGAGCTTCTTCAGCCTCCCTTAAAAATAGAGTCAGAATCTGACCTGTCACTTTTATCACTCCCACCCTGGTCCAGGCCACCATCATATCTTGCCTGGATCATTACAAAAGCCTCCTAACTAGTTTTCCTGCTTCAGTGGTTCTGCTCTCAACAGTCTAATTTCTGTATAGTTGTTTGTGTCCTTTGAAATGTTTGGTAATATTCCAGCAATCCCCAGCTGAACACCTTCTAATGATTTCTTGTCTCACTCAGTAGAAGCCAAAGACCTCACAATTACCTTCAAGGTCCTAATTGATATTTTTGGTTGCCTCTCTGATCCCATCTCTTAGTACTCACTTCCTTACTGCCACATAGTCATACTGGTCTTGTTACTGTTGCTGAAACATAGTTAAAGCACAAGCCTGCTTCAGGCCTTTAAACGTGGGCTGTTCTTCCCTTAGGTATCTGCATGGCTTGCTCCCTAACTTTATTAGGTTTATGGTCAAATGTTACCTTATTAGTGAGCCCTTATCTGACTACCCTATATATAATGGCCATACCTTTACACTACTTTGTATTTCTAAGTTGCAGTAATTACCGTGCGTATTTTATGGTTTATTTGCTTGTTACCTGTCTTCATTGTGATATAAACTCTACGAGGAGTGAGACTTTATGTTGCCTGCTTTTCTCAGTAGCTAGGGCAGTTCTCGATACATTGTGGGTACTCAGTACATATGTGTTGAATTTATTTTTGTAGGTACCGAAGTTATGTCTTTCTGGCAAGTTAGCTCACCAGGAGGTTTCATAGTGGACCAAATAGCCTTTGTAGGCCTTTTTGAACTATATTTTAATGTTCTGCTCTAGGTCATTAGAAGAAACAGCCTCCCGAAAAGCAATTTTGCATTTGGTGTATGTCATCTTATGTAATTCAGTAGCCCTTATTGAAGATTCCAGATGAGAAATGTCTTTTGGAATTTAGTATAAGAAATCCAGTTGAGGAACAACCTTACTCTTTACTTTTTGTTTTTGTTTGACTTTTGTTTTGACAGGGTCTTAATGCCCATCACCCAGGCTGGAGTGCAGTGGTGTGATTATGGCTTACTACAGCCTCAACCTCTTATGCTCTGGTGATTCTCCCACCTGAGCCTCCCAAGTAAGCAGGGACTACAGGCGCACACCATCATGCTTGTCCAATATTTTGTATTTTTAGTTGAGATGGGCTTTTGCCGTTTTGTCCAAGCTGGTCTTGAACTCCTGGGCTCAAGTGATCCACCTGCTTTGGCTCTTTGATATTACTGGTGTGAGCCACCTTGCCCAGCCAACCTTATTCTTTTCTGAAGGCTACAAATATTCCACTGATGGATGCATCACAATTTGTTTTAAGTGGTCTTTTATTGATGGGTGTCAAGCTATTGTTATAATTATTATTTTGCTGTTATAAATAGGGCTTAAGTGTGATAGCCTTACACATAACTGGTATAATTTTATACATATATTTTCATATTATATATTTATAGCAATACCATTTCTAGTCAAAGGGTATGTACATGTAGAATTTTGATAGGCCTTACCAAAGTGCCCTCAAAAGGTCACATTGATTATATATTACAACCAGTGGTTGAATATAAATTGTGTTTTAGATTTTGACTAAGTAGACTTTTTTTTTAAAAGCTTTTATTTTCAGAAGTTTCTGTTGCTTTGTGTACAAAAATTCACATAACTAAAATTAGATGTTATTGTTTACATATTCACATGTCTTCATTTATTTATTCATCTGGTAATCGTTATCTGCCTGTTACGTACCAGGCACATAACTTCTTTCCTTCCTTTTTCTCTACCTTCCTCCCTCTACACCTTGATCTCGTTCTTTTTTCTCATCTTAAGATAGTGATACTTGTACATACCTTATAGGGTAAATTACTTGTGCAAGTACTTGGCATGTAGTAAGTGCTCAGTAAATATTCACCATTATAATTTTTCTGTGAAGTTGTCTTGCTCTCTGCATTTTTGTTTCCCAGTTCCTTTTTCTGTGGTTTGTTTTGGCTCTGTGTTTTGTTTGTGGCTTTCCTCAAGTATCTGTTGATCTCTGCTAACAATTTATAGTTAAGAGTGAGGCACTAAAGAGATGAGACTTTTTGACATGTGGATGTCACTGTAGATTGATTGCATATTGAGTGATCATTTTTGTTAGTCACTATTCCTAGCCCATCCCACCCCCAATAAAATCATCAATATGTAGATTTTCTTTTTTTTTCTCCAGAGAGACATCCTGGAGTGATATCCTGTGTTTGGGAGCTGAGAGGGAGAGGGATCCTGTGTGGATCTCAGTACATGTGTATACTTACCCTTACCCTTTGCCTCTTTGAAAGTGACGCCTTACCCAGTGCCCTCTGCTGTTTGGGTCCCTCTAGTTCTGTTTCTCCAAAGAATAAACCTTTGCCTCCTGCTAGACTGGGGGAAGGGTACTTTTCTGATGCTTATATAGATTTTCATCCAATCCTTTATTTGCTGTCCTATATCTTACCTCTGCCTCTGTGCTGCTTGGTGCTTCCAATTTTGGAATCTTCCTAGTTTCTGTGATGCAAATGTATTGATATTCTCCAGTGCAAACTCTTAGGTTTCAGCTTCCTCTGCTCTCTACCCTGCTAAGTCTGCTTTCTGCCTTAAAAAAATGGTTTGAGGATGTGGAGAAATAGGAACACTTTTACACTGTTGGTAGGAGTGTAAATTAGTTCAACCATTTTGGAAGACAGTGTGGTGATTCCTCAAGGACCAGAAATAGAAATTCCATTTGACCTAGCAATCCCATTACTGGGTATATATCCAAAGGATTATAAATCGTTCTATTGTAAGGACACATGCACGCAAATGTTCATTGCAGGACTGTTAACAATAGCAAAGACTTGGAACCAACCCAAATGCCCATCGATGATAGACTGGACAGGAAAAAGTGGCACATATACACCGTGGAATACTATGCAGCCATAAAAAACGATGAGTTAGTGTCCTTTATAGGGACATGGATGAACCTGGAAACCATCATTCTCAGCAAACTGACACGTGAACAGAAAATTAAATACCGCATGCTCTCACTCATAGGTAGGTGTTGAACAGTGAGAACACATGGACACAGGGAGGGGAGCATCACACACTGGGGTCTGTGGCGGGGAACTAGAGGAGGGACAGCAGGGGTTGGGGAGTTGGGGAGAGATAGCATGGGGAGAAATGCCAGATATAGGTGATGGGGAGGAAGGCAGCAAACCACACTGCCATGTGTGTACCTATGCAACAATCTTACTTGTTCTTCACATGTACCCCAGAACCTAAAATGCAATGAAATATATATTTCTCCTCTGCTATACTTTATGTCTTTCTGGGCATATACTGTTTCTATTTCTTCATTGTAATTTTAATAGATTTCTTTTAAAGGTTGTAGAGATAAATGTGTAAATTTAGCCCTTCATGTTTAACCAGTTATTGATGATCTGGTAATACTTTTTTTTCTTTGAATTTTTTTAAAGTAATAAATCCTACCCCTGACACCCTACGCCTTCAAGTGATTTTTTTTTGACATTATGAATTCAATTAATGTATTCAATGTGTTGAAACTACATCAAGCATATTAAATTTCAGGGTCTTAGAAATCAGGTACTGGCAATTATGTTCTGTGTGCATGTACATGTGTGTGCATTTAAAAAATTTCCTGCCAGGTACTCACTAAATTTAGGTATAAAGAATGGGTATAATTTTAATTCATTCTTTAAAGAGTTCTTGGTTTTCACCTGTTAATACATTTGCCTCATCGTTTTAGCAATTGGAGTTGCTCAGCAAATGAGTAATCTCTAATCTCCCAGAAGCTGGAAATAGGGTATTTAATGCATCACCATCATTAAAGGTTGATTGTATCACTTGCAGGGTTTTTGGACCCTGTGCTATTATGCAGGTTTTATAAAACAATGTTTATAACTTTCAGATGATGTTAGCCTCTCTTGCTAAGGTCTCCTTTATGTACTGGTTACTGTTGTTATCTATCCATGCTATCTGATAGACATCCAGTAGACATCATCACATCACACTGTGGTGATGGAAATGTTCTGAATCTGTACTGTCCAATAAATATAGTAGCCACTAGCCACACGTGCCTGTTGAGCACTTGATATGTGGCCAGTGTGACTAGGGAACTGAATTTAAAATTTTTTTCAAACAAGGAGCCACATGTGACTAGTGGCTACCATGTTGGACAGCATAGTTATAAAATGTTAGTCTGATAGGATGTGCTAAGTGTTTTATTCAAATTATTTTATGTTGTTATTCGTTTGAATTAGTTTGGAATAAAGTATTCAACCGAGGAACAAGAGATAGCTGAGTTGTTCCAAGTTCATTATTCATTATTATATTTTGAAATATATTTTTCTTTGACTTCCATAAGAATAAAAATATGCAGATTGCTATTTCAGAATTGAAAAGAAAATATGTTTTAGGTGACTCTGCCATGCCACGTATTTTGAGTATTTTTATGTGCTGATAAGATATTGAAAATCGAAGTGGAAGGTGACATTGAGCCTCTCCAGTGTTTTCTTCCATCTTACAAGAGAAAGGGGAAGTACTGTTTAAATCAAACCTTGCTATTGTTTTAGAGTTTTTTTGTTATTGAAAATAGTCATGGTAATGTTTTGGTTTTGCTTTTTTTTTTTTCTCATGATCATAGCTCACTGTAACCTTGAATTATTGGGCTCAAGCTATCCTCCTGCCTGAGTAGCTCGGACTATAGGTGACTGCTACCATGAGCTGCTATTTTTTTTTTTTTTTTTTTTGAGATGGAATCTTGCTCTGTTGCCCCAGGCTGTAGTGCAGTGGTGCGATCTCAGCTCACTGCAACCTTTGCCTCCCAGGTTTGAGCAATTCTCCTGTCTCAGTCTCCTGAGTAGCTGGGACTATAGGTGTGTGCCACCACGCCTGGCTAATTTTTGTATTGTTAGTAGAGTCAGAGTTTCACCATGTTGCCAGGCTGGTCTCAAACTCCTGACCTCATGATCCACCCGCCTTGGCCTCCCAAAGTGTTGGGATTACAGGTGTGAGCCACCGAGCCCGGCTCTCAAACTAATCATTGGCTAACTAGACTAATGCTGTCAGTTGAGGTCTGTGGTAAGTTGAGTGTCATTTAAAAAATTTTTTTTGTAGAAATAAACTCTCACTATGTTTCCCAGGCTGTTCTTGAACTCTTGGCCTCAAGTAATCCTCCCTCCTCAGCCTCTGGAAGCACTGGGACTGGCCTGTTTTTGCATTTTTGAAGTTTGGATGAAAATGATTTGTGACACCAAACTTCTTTGTGAACTACAGATTAATTCAGAAATTTTCTTTTGAATCAGGGATAAAGAGTAATTGTGGTAAATGTTCTCAAATTAATCTTTGGCTAACTAGAATAATCTATCAGTTGAGGTCTGTGGTAAGTTGAGTGTCATTTAACTGGTAAAAATTGTCAGTTATTTTTTTACAAATGTAAGAAGCATGGGTTTTGGGAGTTGAAGGTTGCAGTGAGCCGAGATTGCACCACTACACTCCAGCCTGGGTGACAGAGTAAAACTCCGTCTCAAACAAAGAGAAGCATGAGTTTGATTGTAGAACATTACAATTCTGTTTTTTTTAAGTGAAATATAGCATTTTGGAATATTAGTATAGTTACCACTATGCATGTAGTTTAGCAAAATATACCATATTTACTGTTTTATACAGTATTATTGTTAACTAACAGTTGAATATTATTCAGGCCTTTGAGAAGATATATTAGTTATTTCATACTCTTTTTTGTTCTACTGAAGGCTTCAATCCCTTCTTAGTTTCTCATTCTCAACAAATGATTTATTCTTCCATTTCATAAAATATGAACACTGACGTTCTTGTTCTTTTTTCTTATCAACTTAAAATCATCATCACTGATTCCCCACCACCTCTTGCGTTACAGTGGAAAAAGTGTCTGTTCCTGACAAAAACAGATCTATCCATTTCTCCAGTTAAGTTCTTATTTATTCTCTTTTTACCTTTTCTTCTTTTTTTTTGTGGCAGGGTATTGTTGTATTGCCCAGACTGGAGTGCGGTGGTGTGATCATGGCTCACTGCAACGTCGACCTCCCAGGTCCAAGCAATCCTGCCACCTCAGCCTCTTAAGTAGCTGGGACTACAGGTGTGCGCCACCATGCTCAGCTAATTTTTAAATTTTTTTGTAGGAATGGGGTCTCCCTATGTTTCCTAAGCTGGTCTTGAACTCCTGGCCTCAATTGATCCTTTTGCCTTGGCCTCGCCAAAAGTGCTGAGATTACAGGTGTGAGCCACTGCCCGGCCACATGGATCTTGTATAGCAGTTATTTCACCTGTTTCATGTAATTTCAGCCTATCTCCATTTTTTTTTCCTTTCTTTTTTTGTTTTAATAAGCTCCACTCTTCTCCAGATGTAATAGAAGGGAAGCAAGCCTTCTCCTCCCTTCTTCCTTTTTTTCTAATCCAGGCTTTTTGAAAGAACTGTTTGTATTCATTTTTTCTAATTCTTTCCTTGCAAGCCATGCTTTGACGTGATTTTGATCCATGTTGAAGTTTGAGAATCACCACCCCATCCTATCTTTGTGGGTCAGTCAGGAAGCTCACTATTGTTGCTGTGAATTGTAATCACCAGTTATAGGTTTTGGAGGACTGTTAGTTTCTACTTAAATAGACACGGAGGAATCAAATTCTGGTGGGGCAGGATGGTGTTTAAACTTAGAAATCATAACTGTAGGTGAATTAATTAAGCTTAGGTTTGGCAGTGAGTGACAGAAACTCAACATAGTGGTAGCTTAAAAAGATAGTTCACTTCTCATATAAACATGGGTAATCCAGGTCTGGTCAATACATGATTATCAAGAACCTAGGCCTCTTTACTCTTGTTGCTCTACCATTTGCAACACTCAGCTGCTACTTCATGGTTCTGTTTGGCTGCTATAGCTATATCCATCGTTTTTACATTCTAGTCAACAAGAAGGAAAAAGGAGATACTTTCTCCTTTTAAAGAAACTTCCCAGCAGTTGTCCAGACCTCTTAGTCCAGTTGGCCATACCCAGTTGTAAGGGAGCCAGGAAAATAAAAGTGTTTATTTTAGGCAGCCTTGTGTGCAGACATAGGTTCTACCACTGTAGGGGAAGGGGAGAGCATATATGGCAGGGTTAACAGCCTCTGCCACAATAAACTCTTGGGAGCTTTGATTGGCTCAATCAGTAACCAATATTGCTTAGTAGCGCGCCATGAGAGGTTAATTGTGGGAAAACGAGGGAGATTGGGGGAAGGACAACAGAATTAGAAACATTAAAAATCTCCCCCTTGGCACTCTAAGAGGTTCCATCTACTTGGGTAGATTAGACATGCATACATAAGTTACAGAGCAGTGTAAGAATCAGAGGGTATAACTGGGGGGGAAATCAGACTCATGTGGGATTTGGTTTTAGTGGCAAGCATCCCTACAGGACTGGAGTTTTGAGAAAACAGATTAGAAGAAGAGAATTGACATACTTTTGGGTAAATGGAGCTCTTTGTACATGATATTAATCACTGTTCAGTACTCTTACCACTTAACAAGAGTCTTAAGACTTATTTCTAATCTAGAACTGAGGAAGGAATTATAATAAACCTATGAGAAATCTGTTGAGTAAAATTATAATATCCTTGTTAATTTTTAAATTTATCTCATCTTACCTTTGACTGCTAGTTATAGTACTTTCATAGATAAAAGATTTGTTTTCCAATTTATATGTGCTAATTAGAACCATTGTAATTTATGACCTCCCAATTGAATAATTGAATGATTTTATAGAAATAACACAGTAAATATTGTGAGTAGAGAAAAAGCCAAGAAGTGGAAGAGAGAACAGGGGAGTGAGTTTTGAGTATTGTAAAAAACAGTGGGTTTGGCAGAGTTCACTGGTGTTTAAAAATGAACTAATGTGATATAGTAATACAGTTTTGCATTTTTTTACTTAATATTATAATGTGTACATTTTCTCTTGTTGTGAAAATTTTTCAAAAACGTGAGTTTTAAAATCAATTGTATAGCATTCCATAGTTTGGATTTACTATAATGATTTACCCTGTACCCTTATTGTTAGACATTTAAATTGCTTATAATTTTTTTGTAACTATGAACAAAGTAAAGATAAACAATTTAAGTCTTTAAAAAGTGAATTACTGTAGTGAGCACAGAAGCTACATGTTACAATATAGAGTATTACTGGAGAGAATGTTGAGGTAGCAGAGATAGTATTTTGAGTTTTCCTCTAAAATAAGGAAGATGATGATCCTATAGAAAGTAGTGGAATGAAGCAATTAATAGCTTATAAAATTTGGACTTTAGTTGTGTACTTAAGAAAATTAAAGCAGTATATAGTATTGCTGGTTTACATAAACTAGTACAGTAACGTAAATGTGGATAATTTACATTTTCTTCCTTAGGTGTACATATGTACTTTACGTTTCATATATTTATTGATGTCTAAATCGTACTTTTTTTTTTTTTTTT